ACAAAAACAACAAAGAATGTACACGTATTTGAACACACCCCGTCCAATCATGTTTTCGTTAACTGAACGTATGGACATGATCACTCAATGCGCTGGCGTCGAAGCATTCTTCCATAGCTAATCCCGCTGCAGCATGACGTCATAATATCAGGATCAACGTCATGCGACTGGCGTTCCTTACCAATCGGTGCAGCCTGTTTGCTTTCCCACACGAGACGAACACTGTCAAAAAATGGTAAAAGTCGCCACCGCAACAAAGTCACACAGACACACACACGAGATGCGGGCGAGTTTAGCGCCCTGCATGAGTCGTTTCTGTTTACTCTCAGTAACGGCGTTTTTCATTTTTTATTGCGTCCCAATAACGGACGGGTCGGAGGAAAGGAGAATACTGTAAGGTGTCTGCTCACAGTGTAAAAAGGGAGACGCCACAGGCGCGGCCACGCAGGTATTTATGCGGTGTGAGGTGGAATGTGGTGTAGGGAAGAAGAAGAAGAAGAAGAAGAAGAAGAAGAAGAAGAAGAAGAAGAAGAAGAAGATCAACAACTTGGTGGCGGAAGCTGCACCCCAGGATCGGCAGCACTGCAACACTCTGAAGCTCGGCGTGTGGGGGCGGTGCACATACAAAGGGAGAGGGGGGCGCCTCTCCCCTCAGAGGGGATCCGGTGGGGATCTTCCGGGGATCCGCGGGGGATCAAGGGAAGACGTCCTTGGGCCGGCCGGGCCGGGGCCGGGACGGGCTGAGTGAGTTGTACTGTACCCCCGCCGCATAGAGCCACGGTGCCATGGTCTAGGGGATTTATGCCTCGGATGTCCGCACTGGAGCAGCGCCGCCGGCGGGGTGGAGGGCTGAGAGGTGCGAGGGGGAGGGGGAAGGGGGGGGAGGGTCCCGCACAAGCAAGCGCACACACGCCCCGCGTGGCCGAAGAATAAGCACTGCCCCACATCGTTCGGGGCTTCGAGGCTTCGGACGCAAAAACCCCGCAGCCGAGGCTGAGATACGTGGTTTTGCGCAACGCGGCTGCAGCGCAGTGGACGCCGAAGGGCCGCCTTGACTCTCTGTCTCTCTCGCTCCCCCGCGGCACGCCGGCCGCGCCCCGCGAGTGCGACGGAGACAGAGCGACCTGCAGTTCGGCGCGATTAGAGTCGCCGGCCGATATTTACGACGCGCTGCGCCCGCTGCGCCGCGCCCTGCCCCACTCTTCTTCCCGTTCGCAGTGCGAGGTGCCGCACCGGCGCCTCTGTGAGGAGCAGGGAAGGCCGTCTTGAACCGAGTTGTTTTCGCCGGAACGTTTTTAACTTTCAGAGGGGTTTGCCTTTCGGAACGCGCTGAGGAGGAGTTTCGAGAAATGAACAACCAGAAGCACGAAAACAATCTTCAGCGAGTTGACGGTGTTGTCGTGGCAACAATGGCGATGCCACCACCCACTTGCGCCCTCGCTTTCGCTTGCTGGCGCTGCCGACACGGATTGCGCATTCAGTGCAGGCAAACAATCGGCAGCCCCAATCAGCGCAATCGATAACAATAATGACAATAATGCGTCGCGCGGGAAAGTTGATTAACACAAACACGTTCCCCCCCCCCCCACCACCACCACCAGCCGCTCTCCCTCCGTGTCCGGGCAGCGTGAAAATCGGAGGCAGACAACCCCTCCCAACTGCACTTGAATTCGCAGACCAATCGGCTCATCATCTCCAGGTGCGCGGAACGGGAGGGAGGGAGGAGGGAGGGGGGATGGTTGCACGCACGAGGGCCCTACAGGTACTCGTCTCTGCGAGGCCAGATTAGATGATGAGTCCGATCCCCCGGCGGCTGGCTGGATCCTGGATCCCTCGGCCCGGCGGCACGGCGCGGCACGGGGTAGGACGGGGTAGGACGGGACGGCTCGTCGGCTCAACTCGTATCTGGCTGTTTCCTATTGTGTCGATTCTCATCTTCCACTCGGCGCACACGGCTGCGAATACTCTGCCGTGAGGGGCGGCAGTAGTGCGCCTGTCTGTGTGTGTGTGTGTGTGTGTGTATGTGTGTGTAGGTGTGTGTGTGTGTGTGTGTGTGTGTGTGTGTGTGTGAGCGCGTGGAGGTGCGGTGCGCGCCCAGTGGGTGTGCACGAGTAAGCCACCCTCTCACGCCGAATGCGACTACCCCGCTGCCGGAGCGCGCCAGAGGCAGACAGAGAGGGAAAACAAAAGCGAAAAGGAATCGAAAATGTATGACACGCGTATGCCAAAGGAGTGACACACAGAGTCTTGGTGATGCCATGCACTGTGCGCGCAGGCAGGCGTGTGCAGTCAGACGCACCCTGCCAGAGGAGGCGTTCTGAAAATGCTCAATTACGCACACCTGTCATTGCCAGAGGAGGAAGCAACAACAACACGTGGCGAGGTGAAGGGCGGTTGTCGAGAGACGCCAGCAGAAGGATAAGCGTGAAGGGGGAGGCGGGGGGGGGGGGCTTGCAGGGGGATGAATATTGCGGTCCTGTGGAGCCAGTTACGGTCTAAATGAGATTCATGCCATGCATGTTTAGCGCCCTCCATGACGACGAGGAGGACGACGACGACGAGGAGGAGGAAGGGGGTGTGGCAACACGTGAGTCGTCGCGGTATAAGACACGGCACGGCGCGTCACGGAGCGTCACGGCACGTCACACAGCTGGGCGACGCCGTGACGTCATCACGGCGGCCGCCAATCTTGCAGCGGTTTGTTCTGCACACAGTGTGCCACACAGTGTGCCGTACAGTCGCGCACGACGGCCTCCTTCCCACTTTTTTTCGCGCTGCCCCGCCACTTTTCGGCGGGAGGCACGTGGAACAGTGGCGGGAAAAGGGCGGGAAAATTCGCGGAAATAAATAATGACGGTTCTTCAAACACGGCCGAGCTCCACCCACTCAAGTAAATACGCCGCGCACATTAAAAGTAACTAGCGCGATCAGGCTTTCTCTTTTCCTGCCCCCTTTCTTTCTGTCTGTCCTTTTCAACCTTTTTTTTGGTTAAGCTCAGAAAAGTTCTGTAGCGCTGGACACGGCTGGTCGCGTCGCTCTGCTCCGCCGGCCCGGGCGTTAAGTGCGAATGAATTAAAGAGCAGAATACACATCACCCCTCCGGTGTCACTTTGCCGTCGAATCACGGTTCGCGAGTGTCACTTCGGTCGTGCCCGGCGCCGGTGAGGTGGGCTGGCGGGGGGCGTGGCCGGGCGTGGCGGGCCATGGCGGGGCGTGGCGGGGCACGGCGTCAATTTTAATGTCTTCATTCGCCCTCGCTGAGTGGCGCTCCATGTCCATTGCCTTGGCGAGCACGGCGCGCACTGCCTCCTCGCGGACGGACACACATCTCCGGTCCTTCCCCTTCGGTTCCGTTTTATTGCACTGATATTCTTTTTTCGCTCCCAATTTTTTTTGTTTTTGCAGTCGTTATCGCTTGGCTTTATTTTTTTAACGGATTCCCGTTGGGAACGTGACTCTAAAAACCGCCACCGCCCGGAGCATGCGGGTCCGTCCGCGTCATCTGGACCCACATGGCTCGGCTCCGCCCGGCTCACCTGGGCGGCCGCGGCGCGCGTCAAAACCCTGCCAGCGAAACGAGACATGAAATAATAATGATTAATGAAAGCAAATTGTGCGACTGAGTTTTTCCCCCCTCTTCGTCGTAGGCAGCAGGCCGGCCCGCTTCCTCTCATCGCGTTAATCAATCATTTCTATGAATACGGAATGCACTCGAATTAAGTCAGCACGCCGGCCGGGCAGACTGTGACGAGGCGTGTGACGGGGCAAACTTGTCACGCCCCGAGGCCCGGCCGCCCCGAGAACTCAAAGCACGCAAACTTGTCGCCGGCAACTCCTCGCCCTGGCCGCCCCGGCCGCGACGATGACACAAAATCCGCGAAACTTGGTCCGGGCAAAACAAAAACAGCGACACTGCAGTTGTCGCACTACGCGATGGATCGATATTCGCATATTGAGGAGCGCGACCGAGCCGGACCGCGGGGGCGGACGGCACGGCGGACGCGGGGCCGTGGGAAGCGGCCAAGGTCGAGCCAAGGTCGAATCGAGGGCGGCCGATGATTGCGGTCGCATCGGGAAGAGGAGGGAAATGACGGAATAAAAAGAAAAGTGGCGACGAGTGCCGCGCGGTCACGCCGTGGTCACGAGGCGATCCGGAACCTCGTCGCTCTGTCTCTCTCGCACCGCTCCGGGACGCGCCGAGAGAGGGACAGAGACAGAGTGCCCAGCTTCGAGGCAGCCGGCTGTCCGGCGGCCTTTAATAAGGCGGTGCCGCCGCTGGAGTGCCCTGCCCAGGGGCCGCCGGGGGCCAGCAGACTCATTCCGTGAGTCGCTCTCATCGCTCTGTCTCTCTCGCACCCATACGAGACGCCGCGTGAGTGCGAGAGAGACAGAGGCCGACTCCCGGAATCAGTCTGCAGGGCGTGAGGCGGATCGGCCGGATCCACGCACCATCTCTTTAGACATTTTTACGACGAGAGCGCGCTCCTTTCGGTGCCTTTTTATCCCTTTCTTGTTTTTATTTTGCGCGCGGCGCCGCGTGACCGCGCTGATGTCTTCATCCGGGATCTCTTTAAGTTGCCCGCGATCCGATCGCCGCAGCGGGTCAGGGCCGAGGCTGGCGGACACGAAGTTTCATCCTTCGGGGGCCGTCTTCATCCGCGCGTTTCAGGATGGACGCCCCAAGCGCAGCCACAAAGAATAGCACTCACTCCCAGGTAGAAAACCTCAACCTTGGTAGCCTTTTTGGGTAACGTTTGAGAATTTTTACAAGATCTTGGAAAATTTCATCAAGTTGCGCAATGAGATCGAACAACAGGTATACCTGATTAATTTACCCAAGATTTTTGCCTGAGTTGTTGACTCGTATCAAGTGGAAGGAGACGCGTTTATATTTACCCTGTTCCCTGAACTTTCAACACAAACAGCCACGCATAGCTAAACCATTATTTAACCATTGTTGAGGTTATCGAACTGGCAAGCGAAATGAGATCAAAACTCACCTTTGTGTGATTCTGGTTTTCCATTCTTCGCACCTTGTGCGCGCCCTCTCAAACGAATGTCATCGGAGTCACTTCATTGTACGTCACACAGCTACAGGTGCGCCTTCGCGCGGGGCGTTATTTGCCGAGGTTAATCTGGTTCGAGTCAGTTTCTCCGTCCGAGTTACTTCCTTCCAGCCGCCTTCTTTTCTCACGAGTCGCGAGTCGCCACCGCGTCGGGCACCGCGCTGCCGCGCCGCCACACTTGTTCAAACTGACGGCGTCGGAAGTTCAGGGCCAGGGCACTACACTCCTTCGCAGAAGAAGTAATCACCTACGCGTCATTAATTCCCTTATTCAAATTCGCATCCGACTCGAAGTCTGCCGACCCACGTCCGCCAGCGCCTCGCGACGTAGCGAAACGAAGACAACAGTGTTGAAAAGCCGCACTCGGGAACGCGTCAGTGCATTTCGCATGTCTCAGTTCACAAATACCCTCAGCTGTGTCAACAAACCTCAAGGCGAATATAAAAGGCGGAGCCCGTGCCTCCGTCACACTGCTGAACAGTTAGCCACCATGATCAGTTGCACGCAATTGGTCGTTGTTTTGTGCCTGGTCGCCGCGGCGCAGGTACCGTTTGCCTTGGCGACTTAGTGAAGAAGAGGATCAGTGTCTGAATTAAGGTATTTCCTGCTTGCTAGTGCAGTGTGTCTCATGAGTGTCCGTCCTGTCCGCAGGCCGCGCCGGCGGACGGCGAGGTAGCGGTCTACAAGTCCAACGGGGAGTCCTGGGCCAGCGCCGGCGGCCTCAGCGGCACCCTCGGCGCCCTGGCTAGCAAGCTCGGCATCGTGGGCATCGTCCTTGGCGACGAGGACAAGGCCAACAACATCACCACCACCGTCACGACCACCAACACCACCAACGCCGACGGTGACGTCGAGATCGAGATCGTCGTGAACCGCGAGGACGCCGACGGTGACGACGACACCGAGCACGTCATCGTCATCAACACCAACAGCACGGAGGAAGGCAAGCCTGCCAAGATCACCGTGGAGGTCGTCGAGGCCACCACCACCGAAGCCCCCGAAGCCCCCAAGATCACCGTAGAGGTCGTCGAGGCCACCACCACTGAAGCCCCCGAAGCGCCCAAGATCACCGTGGAGGTCGTCGAGGCCACCACCACTGAAGCCCCCGAAGCCCCCAAGATCACCGTAGAGGTCGTCGAGGCCTCCACCACCGAAGCCCCCGAAGCGCCCAAGATCACCGTGGAGGTCGTCGAGGCTACCACCACCGAAGCCCCCGAAGCTCCCAAGATCACTGTGGAGGTCATCGAGGCCACCACTACCACCACCAAAGCCCCCGAAGCTCCCAAGATCACTGTGGAGGTCATCGAGGCCACCACTACCACCACTGCGGCTCCCGCGCCTGCTGTCGAGATCGAAGTGATTGTGCCCTCTGCAGAAACCGCAGACGACGTCACCGTCGTCGTCTCCACCGATGAGGCAACCGAGGCACCTAAACCCGACGCAGGTGTGACTATCACGGCTGAGATCCCCGCTGAGGAAACCAAGGTCGTCGTGGAGGTCGAGACCACTGAGGCTCCTGCCCCCGAGCCTACTGTGGTCACCGTCGACGTTGAGACTCCCACCGACGCTGATAACCAGATTACCATCGAAATTGAGCTCCCTGAGAAGACGACGCCTAAGCCCGCTGTCGTCACCGTCGACGTTGAGACACCCACCGATGCTGACAAGGATATTACCATCGAAGTTCGGCTTCCCGAGAAGACGACTCCGGCCCCTGAGCCCACTGTTGTCGTAGAGGTCAAGACTGAGGCCCCTGCCCCCGAGCCCACTGTGGTCGTAGAGGTCAAGACTGAAGCCCCAGCCACTGAGCCCCCTGTCGTGATTGAGATCGAAAAGCCCGAAAACACTGGTGATGTGACCATTGAGGTTCAGCTTCCCGAAAAGGAAAAGCCTGAGACAACTGTGGTCGTTGAGGTCCAGACTGAGGCCCCTGCCACTGAGCCCCCTGTCGTGATTGAGATCGAAAAGCCCGAAAACACTGGTGATGTGACCATTGAGGTTCAGCTTCCCGAAAAGGAAAAGCCTGAGACAACTGTGGTCGTTGAGGTCCAGACTGAGGCCCCTGCCACTGAGCCCTGTCGTGATTGAGATCGAAAAGCCCGAAAACACTGGTGATGTGACCATTGAGGTTCAGCTTCCCGAAAAGGAAAAGCCTGAGACAACTGTGGTCGTTGAGGTCCAGACTGAGGCCCCTGCCCCAGAGCCTGAAACCAAGGTCACCGTCGAAATCAAGAACCCCGAGCCTGAACCCAAGCCCGAGATCACCGTCGAGGTCAAGAACCCCGAGCCCGAGCCCAAGCCCGAGATAACCGTCGAGATCAAGAACCCCGAGCCTGAGCCCAAGCCCGAGATCACCGTCGAGGTCAAGAACCCCGAGCCTGAGCCCAAGCCTGAGGTCACCGTCGAGATCAAGAACCCGGACACCGAGCCCCAGATCGCAATCTGCTACGAGGAAAAGCCCGACGTTTCCGTGAAGGTGCCGTGGTGGCAGCAGAAGAGCATCACCCTCCCCAACATCGTCGTGCCCATCACCCTTCAGGTCACCCCTCAGGTGCAGTACGCTCCCGCTCCCCAGGTTCAGTACGCTCCCGCTCCCCAGGTTCAGTACGTGCCCGTGAACCAGCAGCAGGTGCAGTACGTGCCTGTCAACCAGCAGCAGGTCCAGTACGTGCCTGTCAACCAGCAGCAGGTGCAGTACGTGCCTGTCAACCAGGTTCAGTACGTGGCCGCCAACCAGCCGCAGGTCCAGTACGTCACCATTCCTGCCAACCAGCAGATCCAGTACGTCTCTGCCCCCGGCGTGAAGGTCGTGGAGTCCGCTCCCACTGTGAAGGTCGTCGAGTCCGCCCCCCAGGTGCAGTACGTCACCCGCACCAGCCAGCAGGTGGAGCTTATTCGTCCCGAGACCCAGCAGGTGACTGTGACCGCCACTGCTGCCTAAACCACTGAGTAGACACCAACGTCATCTACGAAAATGCAGAGTGCAGACATAAATAAAACACTAATAAAATTTATCTCCCGCACCCACGACGGCCAATCCCTTTCCTCTCACGATAAAGTTTCAACTGCTTGTTCACTTCCATGAAAAAATGAAACAATTACACCAGTACCGCATTAGTCATAGCACTGGCGAGGATTATTAATCACAGCTCGCAATAAAACGAGGCCCCAATGTCTAATATTGGCTCGTTAAGTGGGGCAATTTTTTAAACGTCTAGCTCTTGAATCGATAGCTGTTTGTATTTGCTGGATAAATAGATGTGCCCGCCTTTGCTTGGTTTGGCATGAAAAAGAACAGCAGCCGTTTATTTCTGCAGCAATTCATAACGACACAGAAACGAGGGAAACACGAGTGAATTCGCCTGTTTGCCGGGACAACCCCGTCCTCAAGCAAATCCTTTTGACGCAGTCAGGAAGGTTACGGCCGGCCAGCCCCCCGCACTTAGTGTGTTAGGGCGTTATCCCCCAAGACGAAGGGTGCCGCAAATGGCAGTCGTATGTTACCGGATGTGAATGGACGGAACCGGAGCGGAGCGTTCTTCTGCGCAGTTCCTTTGGTCAGACGTCTCTCCGCTCGGCGCTCCTTTTTTCCGCCAGGACGGAACGGAACTCCCACGTGCTTTGTGTGAGTGTGTCCCACAGTGTGTCCCACAGTGTGGCCGTGACGTCACTGGACCCGAAAAGGGGCGCACGATAATTCGCGGCATCGTCGCAGTAAAGGAGTGTAGGATGGGGAAAGTGGAAATAGGTCAAGCTCAAGGCAACAAAAGTTGCAAGTAGTTGTTCTGGTTAGACAAAATCGATAAGAATCAATACTTAACCAAGCATGTTTCTGCAGACTGCTAAGGACCAAGAGAAAGGACTTTAGCATTTAGTTTTTAGTGTAATACCGAAATAACATCTTCATCCCCTGCCCCGCCACAAGCCAAGCACAACAGCTTCTTCCTGCCCCGAAATTTAATCCCTCTCTGAACCACCCCCGAGGTGTCGACTCAGGCAGGGAGGCTTTATCTAATCGGAAGCGGCCCGAGAGGTGTAACAATTGCAGGAGTGCTGCTGATTCCTCTCCTCTCTCCTCCTAGGAAGCAACAAGCGAGACACCGGGTCTAATCTTCGCCCTGTGTGTTCCGCATCTTGAATGCGTTAATTAGGCCCCTCCACCCCGTCAGAGCGAGAGAGAAAGACAAGCCGCCAGCCCCATTCTCTCCTCAGAGTGAGAGAGAAAGCGGCGAAATGAATCGCCAGCTGAAAGAAAACTCCGCGGACTGGTAAACGGCGCCGCGAACAAGGCATCAAAGCGTTGTTTGCAGCGCTCTCTAAACGCAGAACGAGCAGACGACACGACGCGGAAAACGGGCGGCGGTGCCAAGTCGCGTTATTCGCAGAGCAAGTACCGCTCACGAAGCAGACGACGCGTGGTGTGCGAGGCAGAGGGTGCTCGCCTGGAAATCTGGAGCAGGGCGGACAGCTGACAGTATCTGGCCTGGCATGTTTAGCTGCAGCAGCCCAAGCAACCGTGATGTTGGTTTTCCTCCTCGCTGGTAAAACAGAGAGAAAAGGGTAGCTCGGACGCGGTGGAGGGAGAGGGGCCGGAGCCGAAGCACTTATTCGCAGGCAAGCTGTATCTCGCAGCACGGCGCCTTGAGAATGATATGTCGCCTTAACGACGGGGCCCTCGAAGTACGAAGGACGCCAGGGCATGGCCAGGGCATGGCCAGGGGGTGGAGGTCACCCTGACCTTCCAGACCGCATTCTTCAGCATCCCGCCTGCACACTGCTTAAAGTTTTGACGACCCACAAGCGCGTGGCTCACTACGGGTAGGCCTGGGATAATCACGTGACACACGGGAAAAACTGTTCCATTCCTCTAAGCAGATTAGCCGGCTGCATTGCAGGGTCTTTGCTGCTCGTGTGGGCTGGGGCCTGGCTGGGCCTGGCTGGGCGGTGTAGCCCCCTTCTCTAAGCCCCGCTAAAGTTGCCGCCGTGCCGCCCCGGCAGCGCCACTGATATGCACTGCAGTTGCGGATGGACTTATAATGCAGTTAGGCGCACGCTCCGGACCAACTCCGAATGTGCTTAACTGGATAGGAACTGAATCGAACACGTGGTGGGAAGTACCTGCGGATTGCTCTTCGAAAAATAAATCTATCTTAAGTTAGATTCTAGTCGGATAAAAGTGAGGGTAGTGAGCTAGCTGCACAGGCCTCTTGGGAACAGTGACGCCACTGCTCGCGACCTTCGACCACCACACCGCACACAGCGCCCCTTACTCGAGGAAACTAATAAATGAGGCGAGTGCTATCAATGAAAGCCATAAAGGCGCGAGTCACCCTCACCTTATGGGCCGCGACCCCGACCCGCCCTCGGAGCCGAGCCGAGGCAAGGCGAGGCGGGCCGGGCCAAGGACATTACGGCACTAAACACAAGTTGCACGATCCGCGGGGTCCGCAGCCAGAAGTCCTTGGCAGAAGGATTGGCTCAAGGCTCCGCAGAGCTAGCAGAGCCCCGCAGAGCTAGCTCCGCACAAGTCAAACATTTACGACAGACCGCATAAACGGAGGCATTAACCGCTAAACTTTATCTACATGCCGAGTGGCTGCTATAAGGCGCCCTCCGAGGACTCCAAGGTGGACTCCAAGCACACGCGGGGTTACAGAGCACGCGCACTCCCAAGGGCGATTCAAACGTTATGCTCTCGTTGCTGCGTTTTGGTGTTTGGGAGGGCCGAGGCACCTCTCCAGCGGGTGCCGATATTTACGCGCGCGCCCTGCCAAGCTGCGTGCACATTAGAGAGGCCGCGGTCTCTTTATTGGTCCGCCCATCGATAACACGAGTAATAAAGAAAGAGAGATTGGAGCCGGGCCTAGCCCTCGGCCTATAGCCGCCCCCACCCCCTCAGCCTTCGGTCCCCGTGGTGGTCAGTTCAGTTTGCTCCAGTTTCCCGCGACTCCGCCGTGACTGGCCGACATCCAGCAGGCCTATAGGGTCGTGTCTTCGACTTCACTCTTCCCTTCTCAAAAGTTGTTTTCGGAAAAGTCAGAGCTAGTTCGCGGCGCTCGAATTCGCGGCAACATGGTTGACTTTGCCGGCATTCTCTCTCTCCTCTCTCTCTCTCTCTCTCTCTCTCTCTCTCTCTCTCTCTCTCTCTCTCTCTCGCCCGCGTGTGCTCGGAAAACCAACACAGCCGCGGGCGCGAAGTTGGGCGTGGAGGAAGGGATTCCCTAAACTGCAGCCCTAAGCAACTTGCAGATCCACCCCTTTGCCTACGCCCCGCTTGCCCGCGTAAGCGGAGACAAGGGTGAAGGAATTGTGGGGACCTGGCCGTCGTGTGTGTGTGTGTGTGTGTCCTCCCCTCGTTCCTGGCAGCAGACAGGTGTGGCGTAAAGGCCGAATCAGCATCGTGGGGACGCGAAGCCGTTGGCCCGGGCCACAGACCCCTTGGCGGGCCTCCCCCCTCCCTGTCCCTCCCAGACTGAAACAAAATTTCAAGTCCGAATCCCGCGGCCAATAACAATGCGCGTCCACTGGGGCTGCTCTGCTCCCCCGCGCCGCCTCTTAGCATCTGCAACCTGTCGCCTCCGGGCCCGGGGGAGGGGGGAGGGGTGCGGGCCTTTTAACCACACCCCTACGGGACACCCCACGGGCCCCGCGGGCGGGCCGAGGGCGCCTTGTGGGCCCGCACTGGATATTGGCCCATAATTTAAGGCCCCTCCCCAAACTCATATTACTATAGGGAGTTCACCCCCTTCCTATCTTTCGCTCGGAATGTCCCACAAATCTCTCACTATCGCCGGCCGCACTGCCTGGCACTCCTGGCACTCCGCGGCGGCGCGCCGTGCAGACTGTCGCAAAAACACGTTTAAATTTGGCCGCGCGTATGAAATATTCGGGCCGATAAACAGGGTCCGAGGATGATGCGGCGGCCTTCGGGGAAGACGCCGGGCCAGCCGCATCGGCAAAATCCGGCAAGTTACGGCCGCACTTGCGTAATTTTTATGCCCCAGTCTGGCCGAGTCTGGCGGAGACAGCGCCGCGTCGCAGGCCGGAGCCGGAGGGATGGGGACCAGTAAAAATGGAGGAAGAGGATTCAATATTTGGCGGCGCGGCTGCTATATCGAAAGATGCCGGAGGAACAACAACGGGCACCGGGCGGCCGGTCGGCGCGGAAACTTGAGGTAAAAGATGGGCTAAGTTGTAGTGGCCGGTGCGGCACGGCGGCCTGGCTCTATTGCTCTGAACGTACTGCCGATTTTCGTCTGGAGGGTGAAATACAGCAAGCACGCTCAAGAGACAAGGTTCTCTCTGCCCTCCTCCTTTGATTTTTGCCCTGCAACGAGGAACGAGCACTTTTAACAGTAAAGCAGTGTCCATTTCACCCGACTCGCCACGAAAACCTCAGCCAAATATCACAAAAGTAACAAAAAATGCGAAAACGATTTTTAGCGTATTCCCTTTTGGAGTCGCGCGCGAAATCGCAAAGTCAGGTGAGCCGTCTCTCTGTTAGGAAATATTCCTTTTTTTCTTGTCTCAGGGTGCCGTGAGGTGCTGCGGCAGCGCGGGGAAGGCGTGTCAAAAAAGTGAGAGGGGCGGTTTTGGACGAAATAATTCCTCGCAGGAAGTGACGTCGGCCACGCCGTGCCACGCCCCACCCCAAGCCGCCACGCTACGCCACGCCATGCCACGCCCGCGGCGCCCGCCCTGTCAGACGGCATGAGCCCCGGGCGTCGCGACGCACCCGTAAACTGCGACGCCTAATAAAAGTTGACCACTCTGTGTGCACGTCCGTCTGTCTGTCCGTCTGCCCGTCCGTCCATCCGTCTGATCGTCTGTTTGGACCACAAGGTCACCGCGAAGAAGACCGGAGACAAGACAAGACACATGAAACAAAGACCCAAAAGGACCTAAACAATTAAATACACACGAACAAAACTTGAAAATAAATCCGTGATACTGCAAACGCGCATTTCAATTATCTCCAACGCAAAGAAAATTAAACAACTGAAACAAAAAAAAGGGGGGAAAAGGAG